GGGGAAGTGTCTCCTCTGTGGGCCAGCTTTGGGCCACCTGGTGGGTTTCTCCTAGTTGCCTGGTGGTCTGCAATAGCATCCGTCTTTCTCCGGGGCGTGGAGGAGATAATGATGAAGGTCGTCCCTTCTCCCACAACCCTGCCAAGCGGCCACCCTTAGCTCCATTCCACAGATGAGGAAACGGAGGCTCAGAGAGGAGAAGTCATGTGCCCCCCGTCACACGGCTGGAAGGGACAGAGCTGGGACTCCAGCGCATTGAGTCTTGTCCACACCTGTGTCCCGGCAACCCTGGGGGTCGGGGGTGTGCGCCAGCCATGGAGTCCTCGGGCTTCCCTTCTCCGGGTGGAAGAGGACACTCCTTAGGCCTTGCAGGCTCAGCACTCGGACCTCGGGGCTGGGGTCCCTGAGGCTTCGGGTCAGCACATTCAGGGTGTCCTGTTTGGAGAGCACCTCCAGGAGGGCGGGGCTGTAGAGGAACTGGGTGACCCCCAAGGGCAGGCAGGTCAGGTGGGGCACCCTCTCACAGGAGCGGGGCTCCAGGACCAGGGTCTGGCGGGGGTTCTGGGCTGGGGCAGGGACGGGGGCGGCTGACCAGCATTCTCTGGGTATCGTGGTTAAAGAGTATTGGAAACCCACCTCCAAGCTGGTTCCTCCCTTCAATGTATGGCTGGAGAAACCGAGGCTCAGAGGGGGGAAGGGTCTTGCCTGAGTCCACACAGCAAGGCTGGGGCCAGTGTCCATCGGCTGCCTGGCTCATGGGCCCCCCTGGGACACAGCCCCATGGCAGGTGGCCCAGACATTCCTGCTGGTGGGTGGGGTGGGGGCAGCACCGGGCTTTGCTTTGGGTTTTCCCTGCTGACATGCAGTGCATTATGGGAATGACACGTGTTCTCCCACCCGGCCCCATGCTCACGGCTGCCAAGCCTGCCACACGCAGCACCCACCTGCTTCTCTCCATGCCCTTTCAGCTTCATAGTCCCGGGGGTGGCAGGGAGGAAAGGCTGACCCACACTCAGGGCCCTGCAGCCCTGCAGCCCTGCAGGCCTCAGGCCTCAGGCCAGGGAGGGCAGGGCCGTGGGGGGCCTGAGAGGTGGGGGACCCCGCCATGAGCCCCAGAGTGGGGAGGAGGGATGTGAGGGGCCTGTCTGGGCGGGCCTTCCCTTGGTGTGGGTCCTGATGGAGTACCGAGGCAGCTGGGGAAGAGGTCCAGGTGGTCTCTGAGGGGCCCCGCCCGGCCGGGCCCTACCTCCGTGAGCATGAGGATGGCCACCTTCCTCTCCCGTTCCTCCTGGCTCTGCAGGGTGGGCAGCAGCTGGATGAGCACCTCCTGGATCTGCTGGCAGCGGTTCTGCACCATGGCCCTGGGGCGGGGTGGAGAGCGGGCAGGGCCTAGGCTCGCGGGAAGGTCCTGTGCCCACGTTCCTGCTATCACCCCATCGTGCCAGGACCAGGTGGCTGGAGGTGTCACTGAGTGTGGGTGGGCACCGTCTCTCAGAGACAGCTCCCACTCCCTCTGCACCCACCGGGTGCCAAGCCTGGGGGAGACAGAGGGGCAGGCATGGCCCTTGTCCCCCGGGGAGGCCTCGGGCCCGGGGTGTCTGAGAGAGATGCCTGTATCCACAGGCCCCCAGTGTGTACGTGTGACCAGGCACAGCAGGCATGCACATTCCACGCTTGAGGACCGTGTGCAGACATGCATGAGTCCGTGGGGCTGTGCTCACAGGCTGGCCACGGGGGGTCACTGCAGCCCATACCCCCAGCCTCTGGACAGGTAGCCTGGCGCAGGCCCCTCCTGTGCCCGACCCCGCTCCTACCTGGCCAGGAGGCTGACGCCCTGCGGGTAGGTGTGGATGGTACTGAAGAGCTCCCAGGCGCCCTGCAGCTCCAGATGGGCCAAGTCCTGCCAGTGCCCCATGCTGGTCAGCAGGCTCTTCAGTGCCTCCAGCGACATCCTGCGGGGGAGCAGAGGGGCTCAGGGGCCAGTCCTGCCCCTGGGGAGGGTGCCCAGCTGCCTGGGTTATCTCGCCCTTGTTAACAGAAATGGTCAGGCTCCTGAGTCACAGGGTGGAGAGTCCTAGCTGAGCCTCGGGGGACAGTGCCCTGTCAATGTGGGGCTAAGGGTACAGAGGGGACACAGCAGGCAGGGAGGAGGGGAGCTGGGGGTGTGGGTGGCATCATGGAAGCCCAGAGAAGGGTCCATGTGCAACTCCAGCTCCTGACACTCCTCGGAGGTCTCAGAGAAGCCAGGTTCTAACACTGAATGTCCACGTGTAACAGAGAAAGGACGCCGACATGAGGCATGGCCTCTGGACAAGGTGTCACTCCAGGCACCTCAGGTGGCTTTCTACTGCCACACCCTCGGAAGGAGGAAGCACCCAGAGAGGTGATGCCCTGTCCAAGTCACACAGCCTGGCCAGGGGCAGCAGAAGTGGAGTCGACCAGACCCCTGGCTCTAAACCTGCCCTTCGGTGCAGTTGCCATGGGCCCAGGGCTGCCCCAGACCTTGCAGGACGCAGGTGGAGGGCCTGGGAATGCAGGTTCCACAGAAAGCAGGGCAGCCCGACTCTGTGGCCTGTGACTCCACCCCCAGGCCCTGAGTGCACCCCTGAATGAGGCTGTCAGCTCGGACCACGCGTGTTCTGAGCAGATTTGCAAAACCGTGTGTCAAAGGTTGAAAACGCAGCTCCATGAACGTCTCCTAAGACACCAACCCAAATGCCAGCTTGTTTGTCATCTGGCCCTGAGCAGTGCCACTAAGAGGCCGCGTTTTCCAGGTCACTGGTCTCAGCCACAGGTGACGGTTTGAGGAGAAGGGGACTGTGGGGCGGAGCGGAATTTTGTCCCCCCTGTGATGGCTCTGGAAGCTTCTGGTTTCACCGTCGCCTGCCTGTCCCTGCAGACACACCAGGGCGTCAGGAATGAGGAGCCAGGTTGCTTGGGCATCTCGGGGCTCCTGCTGGACGGTGACTGCGGTGAGAGGGGCGGATGGGAGCAGGCAGAGCAGGGGAGGCTGGCTCCGCATGGGGGCTGGGGCAGCAGAGGGACTGAGGCCACACATGGCAGCTTTCTCCTCCTCTCCTACGTCTGGGAGGAGGACGTTTTATTAGCTTATTAGGGAAGATTCATGCATTTTGCACGGTTGATCTGAATAAAAACGGAGCTTTATGCACATTCAAATTCAGAAGCAATATGAGAAGCGACATTTTTTTTTCAGTGCCGCGCCTTGGGGAGAGCTGTTAAAACTGACAAATTGCGTGAAGCACATCATAATACAAACAAATGAAAAGAGCCGGGCCCCCATGGTTTTAAAGACTGGCTTATTGGATTTCTCAAGACACAACCTGGCACAGAGGGAAGATGGGGCCACCAGCCTGAACCACTGCCATGTGCAGGGGGGTGTGACCCGCCCACACAGGTCTCGTTCATGCTGTCAGATAGGGGTCGGAGGCTGGAGACCGTCCATGAGGTCAGCACAAAAATGTACCGGTGTCCAGAGAAATGGGCATGGGGACCAGAAGGCCGTCTGCCTCCAGGGGCTTGCGGTGGCCAGGCGGATGTCCCTGCTGTGTTATGGGCTCTCGCTCAGCCACACACGGACATCTGTGGGGCTCAGGGGGGGCCTCTGACCCTCTCTGAGCCTCACTGTCCTCATCTGCAAAATTGGAAAGGCACATTTGTCTCACAGTCTTTGCAAGGACCACACTCAGGGAAGATGTGGTGTATGTGACAAGTATTGTCCTGTGGAGTCCGTGTGAGCCAGCTGAGTGTCTCTGCTGCTGAGCAGCCTTGGGACACACACCTTCTCTCTGAGTGCTCTCCACACTGACTGCTGTGCTGGCCACAGATGGGATTTGGGGGTTGAATGGTTTCCCCCAAAAAAGCTCTATCGAAGTCCTAACCCTCGTACCTGGGAATGTGACCTCATTTGGAAATAGGGTCCTTGCAGATGGATTCTAGTTAGGATGAGGTCACTAGGGTGGCCCTGACCCATCATGACTGGTGTCACTATAAGAAGGGGGATATTGGGCCGGCCGAGTGGCGCCTTGGTTAAGAGCTGGCTTGGGACGCCAGAGGGCCCTGGTTCAGATCCCACATATGAGGGTCAGTGACACTGCCCTCTACAGCTAAGATGCTGAACAACAGCTCAACTTGGAGCTGGGCTGCCACGAGTCGCCGGCTACAGCGTAGGCTGCAGCCCCTTTGGCAGTGGGTTGCCATGGGCTACCGTGTGTAGCCAGCAGCCAGTGTGAGCGGCCAGCAGCCGCAGTGAGCGGCCGTCCAGAAGCCGGCGACTGATNTTTGGGGCTGAGGCAGCTGGAGGGGGAATCGCATCAACAGAGATGGGGGCTGCAGGAGAAGCCTGTTTGGGGGGACGAAGAGTTGCGTTTGAGATGCCGGCAAAGATCCAAGCAGTTAGGTGATCGAGGCTGGAGTTCAGGTCCAGGGTGGGGATAGGGATTCGGGAGCCACTGGGAAATGGATGGTGCTCGAAGCTCGGACGAGAGCACCGAGGGAGTGAGTGCACATGGGGAAGAGGAGAGCATCCGGGGGTGATCAGGGCCAGACGCCAGGGACAGGAAGGGACACCAGCGCCAAGAGAAGGCGCTCGCCTTCAAGTGGTGAGGTGTCCTGGGGCCAGGTGGACGGGAAGGTCACCCAGCCACGTGCGCTGGGCCAGCCGAGATGAACCCGTTCCCAGCTGCCTCTTGTTCCTTGCTAAGACGACGCCCGCTGTAGCCGGGCACAGGGATGCCCAGAAAGAGAGGGTTCCCAGCCTCCATGCAGCTAAGGGTGACCCCTTGGCCAATGGCGCTGGAGCAGAAGTGAGGACAGGTTGTGGGGGTGCCTTCAAAGGCTGGAGTGGACGTGGTGGTGGGCCCAGGGTGAGGTGCAACAAAGGAGGAGGAGCCCGTTCCCCCGAGACCGCAGGGCAGGACGGCTACGTGGCTGGTAGGGGAACTACCTCTGCTTGCTGGAACCCAGGTCAGTTTGGGTCTTCTGCCTGTAGCTACACTCTGGCCTCCTAATACGCGCACTGCCACCCAGGTCATGCGATGTGTTTGACGGTGGACAGAAGCGGCTGCAAAGCTGCAGACCAGTGAGGGGAACAGTCCTGGGGGCTGTGTTTTCATGGGTGCCAGCAGAGGGTGCCTCTCTGGGGTCTGCGGTCTGGGGCACTGACCGGGGACTGTCCCTCAGCTCCGTGTCCTGCTCCATGCTGTCCGGCTCTGCCTGTCCTGTGCCCGCAGCAGCGGGCCTCCCTGGCTGGCTCTGCCTGTTCCCCCAGCCCACACCCCACTGGGTACAATACCTCTTCCCCCGCCTACCATGTGAGGCTGGCACTGTCACCACTCCTAATGTCCCAGATATGGACGCTGAGGCCCAGAGAGCTGGACACGTGCCAGCTAAAAAGTGCTGGCGTGAGGATCGGACGAACCAGCGTACAGGTGCGCACCTGTGCATGGACCCCAGGAACCCACAGCAGGGGCGACGTCAGGAATCCTCGGTCCCGAATTAGGGGGCTGCTGGAGGGGCCTCCTTTCCTGCCTCT